TATTTGTCTTACTTTTTTACAACAGAACATACCTCAGTTCAAGAATTTCTAAATGTACAGTTTCGTGACAATGATTACACAGTCGTTATTTTCTTTTATTCCAAGATTTTGTACCCAATTAACATAATCCAGTTACCTGCTAAGTTTACTTTCTATCTTTCCAGTTGCTGTTGTTAATTTTATTTCACATATATAGAGTTTCAGAAGAGTACAATCTCATGGTAGATATTTTTACTAGATAAACAACTCTGGTGGCCTAGTGGCAAGAAACTGTGCTGCAATCTCAAAAGCATGGGGTTCAAGGCCACTACCTGCTCCATGGGCAGTCTCCTCCCGTGTGATTAACTGCCTCTGAAAACCCACTGGAGGGTCAGCTATGGGTCATTTCTGACTCTACAGTACACAACAACACCAACAAACAACCTTAAGATTCAATGTTTTATTTATAAGCAACCCCACCTTTGAACAAGACCTTCAGCTAATGTGAATTGGTTGTGTCATGGCTAATAAGGTGAAATAGGCCCAAACCTTAAATTTTACAATTATTGGCAGAAAATGGAAAGCTACACACACTCAGTGCTCTTGGCCATCATATTAGAATTTTGACTCAAAATCTATTTTATGTTTACAAACTATGAGCCAAACAATACTTGAACAAATCCTTTCGCACTATTCTCTTCACTTGTTGCTCATATACCTTTTAAATCATTGAGTAAGCTTTGATCCTCTTCTTGCACTAATATGAGTAAATAAATACTATATACACCTGTTGCAAATTACACATACTTAACATGTTGCTGCACACTTTTAAATTGACTACCATGCTTAGAAACACATTTTCCCCCCTATGTATTAGCATCATTTGTGGCAACGTGTTAAATATACAAGAATTCATCCTGTTAACATAAGAACTACCTGTAGTCTTTAATCCCTTTTGAAGAAATTCTAGAATACCTGAATCATCAACAAGTTGGATATTTTGGGGAGAAGATTGGGATGATAAATAAAAGCAAACTTCTTTCTTGCTTTTGCAATGACCTCTGATCTTTCAGTGATTTGACACTTTATGAATCACAGTGGTGTTAGTGTGCACCTGGCTAACAGCCCATTTTCTTCCTAAAATTATGCTTCATCTTATCATCTTTTCCCAAAGCATGCTGAACATCCCTTGTTAACACTATTATAAATAGATCTTAAGAAATTAGAATTTACTCCAGAATTGACCTCTGAAAAGTATCACTTTTCTGCAGAGTTTCCAGATAAAAACAACCAAAATCTTTTCTGAATGGCAGTCTGGTATTATTAATGGATCTTATTTCCTGTTTCTTGGAGTTGATGATTCCTTTCCAAGATGTCCTGAGAGTAGATCATTTAGTTAATCCATTCGTCTCTCCTAACCAAAGCGGTTTCATGGAACTTGAAATAATAATTGTTAATTCATAATGTTGTTGTGTGACACTGAGTCATAACCTACCCGTAGCTGATATCCTGCATGTTTTTAAAGACCATAAATCATACAAGAGGAGATTGCCCATCTTCTCCCCCTGAGAAGCTGGTAGATTCAAACCCCATGCATTGGGATTGTAGCACAGCTTCTTACCACTAGGCCGTATACTAGAAGACCTTATTCTATTTCAAACATTACTTTAAGCACTTTCAGGACTTAATTAATATTTATACCCAGATTATGAAGTAGGAGGGTTATACTGATCATACTTTCCAGATGGGGTAAGTTAAGAGCAGACACAGGTACACATACAATAAATGATTGAGCTGATGTTCCAAACCCCAGATGATCTAACTATAGACAATATATTTCTAGACTACAGATTGTATTTTCACCTAAGTAATTCTGTCATCTATTTATGCTTTAAATTATTATATGTAATTTTTGTTAACCTGCATATTAAAGGTCCCTTAAAATGAGTTGATTCTAACTTGACCCCACACAACAATAACAACAAAAGTGTAGTTTGGCATGCTGCTCTTCTTTCTTTATTTAAGAAAGTAAAACTAGAAAACATTACCTTTCCTTGAGAGAAAAGAATTCCTGGCCAAAGGATCATTTGTCATCTATCTCTTAATTAGTACTCAAACCACGTAATGCTACCTAGCAATCACAATTGGGTAGTACAGCCTTTTAGCATATCTACAGAGCAAGAAAACACTGCATATATTAAATTTGGGAAGGTGTGTGTGTCAGGGATGTGTTCTATCTCCATGCCTTTTCAATCTATATGCAGAACAGATTATCCGGGAGGCTGGATTCTGTGAGAAGTGTGGCATCAGTATTGGAGGTAGACTCCAACATCAACAATCTGCGTTATGCAAATGACACAACCCTGCTTGCTGAAACTGAGTAGGACCTGAAGTGCTTGCCGCCTTCAATAGGGATTGAAGCTCAACATCAAAAAAACTAAGATCCCACCACTGGTCCAATTGGCAGATCTTGATAGATGTTGAAGAGATTATTGACAGCTTCAGGTTGCTTGTTGACAGCTTCAGTTTGTTTGGCTCTCCAAACAACATTCTTGGTACCAGCAGCCAGGAAATTGTGAAAGTCTGTTGTCAGAGATCTCTCTCCAAAGTACTGAGGAGCAACAGTGTCAGTCTGGATACTAAGGTCTTCCTGATACAGGCTGTGGTCTTTGCCATTACTAATTATACCTCAGAGAGCTGAACAATGACTAGGGATGATAGAAGGAGAGTTGATGCCTTTGAGCTGTGATTCTGGAGAAGAGTATTGAATATACCATGGACGGCTAGGAGAACAAACAAGTTTGTTCTGGAGAGGGTGAAGCCTGGATCCTTGGAGGCAAGGATCCTGAAGCTTCATCTGACATACTTCAGACATACTGCAAGGTGGTATCAGTCCTTGGAGGGGATGTCATGCTTGGGAGGGTAGAGGGACAGCACAGAAGAGGAAGACCTTTGATGAGTTGAATTGATTAAGTTACTGGGATAATGGGGATAGGGTGTTGGAGACAATAAGATTTGCAAAAGCTGGAACAGGGTTTAGGGCTGTTGTGCATAGAGTTGCTGTGAGTCACAGGCAACTCGATGGCACATAGCAACAACATTGCTTTTGTCTTTTTTTCTTGCTTCAGTGTCCCTATAATACCTTACTGCAATTGTCTCACTGCTCTTTCAGAAGACATTCTGTCTTGAGTACTTTGCAACCATTCAGTCTATCACTGATCTTTTTTCCTCTATCTAGCAGTATTGGGGAAACATACTACTCACTGTGAGTTGGCTATTGAGAACTGAATCAACTCTCATTTTTCTTTATGGTTAGCCTTCTCTGTGTATGATTTGATGGTGAGATTCAGGGTTTAGGCCCCTTTTATCTCCTGTTGTATCTCTGGCAACAAATTACTCTGCATTGAGTAAATTCTTGTCAAATGACCAGATGGTGTATTATGATGTATACTCGCTCATTAGAAGTCTTGGTGTCCATTCTTCATTAAGATTCTTTGATTTTGTCAAAATCATTTGAGTCTCAAGCAATTGAATGGTCCATTACTGTTCTTTACAATATAAATTAGAACCATTTTAGAAAAGGTCCAGGTTTAACTTCTCTATGCTATAAAACTTAGGTCTTACCATGACCAAGGAACTCTTAAATGAACACCCTTAATAGAGAACAATAGAGATTATGAGGATGGCATAGGATGGGACAAAGTATATAGGATCACCATGAGTCAGAATAAACTCAAAAATACAACGGCAATGGTGTACAAAGGACACTCTCAGCATTATCCCAGAATTAAAAAGATTGTGACAAAGTTAATGTTGGTATCACATTTTCTCTCACTCAATGCTTTTTCTCCAGGCTTTGATAGTCACCTCTTTCTCAGTGGATGGTAGGAACATAACTGTATTTCTAGTTAAGATTCTTGATACTTCCAGGTTACCTTAAGGAACTTATATTGCTGTAAATTTTTCACAAATGATAGGCATAATTCTGCCTTCATGAAGATTTTCACCATATGTGTTATATTTTGTACCCAAAGGGTGTATAATTTTTTAGGGATGTAGTTTGTTTGATTTGCTTCAACCTGTACACACCTACATATCATATCTAATTCTCTGGTATCGGTTCTTTCTGTACAAGTGATAAAGTGATAAGAAAACAAAATAAAAATATAGGACCTTAACAGTGTGACAACTCTTTCTATTTGTTGATTCAACTGTTACCGTGAACTGTTAGAAAATGGAGAATTTTTCATTCAGTTCAGAGACAGGTCTATGTTGTTGTTGTTGTTGCTGCTAGGTGTCATCAAGTTGAGTATGACTGATAGAGACCTTATGAACAAAAGATCTGAAACCTGTTCTGTCTTGCACCATCATCATACTTCCTGACACACAGGAGCCCATTGAGGCAGTCACTGCATCAGTCCACCTGGTTGAGGGTCTTCCTCTCTTTCAGTGACCCTTCACCTTTCCTACCATCATTTCCTTCTCCAAGTAATAACCCCTCCTATCAACATGCCCAAAATATGTGATGTGAAGCCTCCTCATTCTTGCCTCCAAAGAGCACTCTGGCTTTACCCCTCCACGACATACCTGTTTGTTCTCTTGGCCATCCATGAGATGTTCAGGGCTCTTCTCTAACACCACACCTCAAAGGCATCAGTCCTTCTTGTTCTGTCCTCCTTGTTCATTGCCCAGATCTCAGATGCATAGCAAGTTATCAGAAAGACTGTGGCCTGAATCAGACGCACATTAGTCCTCAAACTGACATCATTACTCCTCAGTTAATTTGGAGAGGTCCTTAACTGCAGATTTTCCCAATGCAATGCATTCCTTTATTTTTTGAACACTGATACCAAGTGTGTTAATTGTGCATCCATAATTATATATGTAGTATATATGTACGTATGTATATATATATATATATGTGTGTGTGTGTGTGTGTATATATATGTCTGTGTGTATGTGTGTGTATATAAATAATCTCACCAATGCTAAAATGTCTTTCTTTCTGATTTTTTCTCCAGGCCAGAAAACTTATCAGTGACTTTGCCATTATCTTGTCCATTCTCATCTTTTGTATAATAGATGCCCTGGTAGGTGTGGATACTCCAAAATTAATTGTGCCAAATGAACTAAAGGTAAGTGAAAGACAGTCTTTTTGTCTTGCCCAGAAATTTTTGGCTTTTTTATCTCCCACTCTGGTTTATTCAGACTTTCCCCAAGTTAATTTGTACATTTTCCTCCCAATGCTGTCCCTTCCTACACCCAAATATACAGCTAGTCTATTCACCAAAATTAAGTATCAGGTTAGGATTAAAGGCAATATTCACATTATACTGATTTTTATTTGAGAAAATATGACATTATAAAATTCTGACTTATATTTATAGGGTATTTTACATTTCCTAAATTATAATATAACTTTGATCCACATAACACTCAGGAATATTCTATATAATTATGATCATCTGACTTTATGTACCTAATATTGAAGCTTATAGAAGTTAAGTGAAATGTTGAAGATTTGAGATGTAATGAATGTTAGAGTCTAAAGTTAAAGCCTGAACTTTAAAACATCTTTTATCAGTATATATTTCAAATTACCTGCCATACTTTTTTATAACACACACATAAACACACATTTATATATAATGTGTATTTTAATTACTACACATATGCAACTATTTAGCCTGTTGGTATTTGTAGGAAGTATGGGTAAAAATATTTCCTAAATAACTCAACTTAATTTCTATTGTGAATCATAACAAATTCTGCTTAATTTTGAGAAGAATGAGAATTCCAGAACACTTAATTGTGCTTTTGTGAAATCTATACTTGGACCAGGAGGCTGTCATCAAAGCAAAACAGGGAAATATTGCATGGTTCAAAATCAGGAAAGGTGTATACCGAGGATACATCCCATCTAAATACTTTTTCAATCTATATGCAGAACAGATCATTCAGGAGGCTGGACTTTATTAACAGGAATGTGGCATCAGGATGGGAGGAAGATTTATTAACAGCCTGCGTTATGCAAATGACACAACCTTGGTTGCTAAAACTGAGGAGGACCGGAGACATTTGCTGCAAAAGGTCAAGGACTGTGAGCTTCAGTATAGATTGAAGCTCAACATCAAGAAAAGAAAAGATTCTCACCACGGGCCAATTGGTAGCATCATGATCTACAGAGAAGAGATTGAGATTGTTAACAGCTTCAGTTTGCTTGGTTCCAGTATCAATATTCTTGGTACCAGCATCCAGGAAAGAAAAGATGAATTTCATTAGGAAAATCTGCTGTCAGGAACCTCTCCAGAGTACTGAAGAGCAACAGTGTCAGTCTAGGGGCTAAGGTGCACCTGATCATGTAATGGTCTTTGCAATAATTTGCTCTTCTTCAGAGTACTGAGCAATGCCTATGGAGGATGACTATGGAGAAGAATCGATGCCTTTGAGTTGGCATGCAGGAGAAGAGTATTAATCATACCATCGACTGCTAAGAGAACAAACAGGTCTGTCCTGGAGAGGGTGAAACCAGTTTGTGCTTTGGAGGCAAGGATTCTGAAGGTCCGTGTGGTCCTTGGAGTAGAACATCATGCTTGGAAGGGTGGACAGTGAAAGAGAAAAGACCCTCATGAATTGGATTGATTCAGTGACTGATGTAATAGTGTGGTGGTAAATGTGTCAGAGATGATGAAATTGGCTCAAAATAGAGCAGAGTTCAGAACTTTTGCACATAGGGTCTCTAGGAGTTGCAAGTGACTGTATGCCCCATAACAACAATTTCCAGTATAAGATTCTATTCAGATATCACCCTGATGCTTGCTTTACACTCTATAAGCTTTGTGTGTATACATGTGTGTGTGTGTGTTGTGTGTGTGTGTGTGTGTGTGTGTGTGTGTATGGAGTTTACACATATATACATATTTGGATGCAGGAGTAGCATCCACTTCATAAACAACATTCCTCTAGAAACTCTGTGAACTTCGATAAATGATGATATATATAAATGATAGTTATAGAAAGGCTTCAGGCCCTTTGTTCATAGGCTTTCTATGAGTTGTGCTCAACTCAATGACAGGCAACAATGACAACAACACACACACATATACACACAAACATGCACAGCTTATAGAGGCCATGGGCTTTGCACTTGCTTGCTGTGCATCGGAAAATTGAACAGTGACTAGGGATGATAGAAGGAAAATTGATGCCTTTGAGCTGTGGTGTTGAAAAAGTGTATTGAATATACCGTGGACTGCTAGAAAAAACAAGTTTGTCCTGGAGAGCGTGAAGCCAGGCTTCTCCTTCAAGACAAGGATTCTGTAGCTTCATCTGACATACTTTGGACATTGTGCAAGGAGGGTTCAGACCTAGGAAAGGGACGTCATGCTTGGGAGGGTGGAGCGACAGTGCAGGAGAGGAAAACTCTCGAAGAGATGGATTGATTCTGTCACCGGGGTAATGGGGATAAGTGTGTCAGAGATGGTGAGATTGGCTGAGATAGGGCAGGGTTTGGGGCTGTTATAGATAGGGTCGCTATGAGTTGCAGGCGACTTGATGGAAGCAACAACTATATACACAACCACAACATATATATAAACACACACACACACACACAGACACACACATATAAACATTATATATACACACACTCCCACAAAATTAATTCTACTGTAGCTATAAAAATAAGTTTCTGTTACTTTAATTCATTTAACATTTATTCCATATCAGCTTTAGAGTTAAGCTCAATATAGAGTTTTTAAATGTGTCAATGGCCACAATAAAATTCTTTTTTCTTTACCCTCAAAGCCTAGAAAAGATAGTAAGAATTTACAGAGTAGTTAGCTTGTCGTTCATTCATTCTTGCACGTTTTACCCCCTCACTCTCCTTTCCTTTTGATTTAAAAAAAAAGTAGTAAAAATGTGATAGAGTCTGTGGTGGAATTGTGAGCAGATTTTAGCAGATGAATTATACTAAGTGAAGAATTTCTTGATAGCATATGTGAGAATACAAATCATGAATATTAGTTTATATGAATTTTTTTAAGTTGGGAAAGATAGAAAAGTAATTCCTCTGTAGTGAAGCTGTGTGATCTTCTGATAGAGAACAGATTGAGAATAGGAAGTTTCTATATTTGTGAATTTTCTGTGCTGTTTTTGAACATTATCTCAATCATTTCTCATATGTTGAATAATACACAAGATTGTTTAAGTAAATTTAACCATGCCTTTAAAAATTATATATATAATAATTCATATATGATACTATATTTTAGCAGTAGTAGAAACAATTTCCACTTCATTGTGGAAACTCATGAACAAAATTCATGGTGGCTTTGTAATTTATTACTGTACCATTTATTGAAAATTCCATTTCTGTGTTTATTTCTACTTCCTCTTAAACCTACATCACTTTCATCTGAGATGTGGTTTGTTGTTTTGTGGGTTTTTTTTTAGTTACCACAAATGAACAAAATTACTTTTCTCTTCTGTCATCTCATATTAGTTCTCTTCTTCCTTTAAAATATTTTCCCAGAGTAATTTCTTTTGTGAAACTTGGATAAATATTTTTCTTTTGTTAGCTTGTAGCAAAGATTTATCTATCTATCTATCTATCTATCTATCTATCTATTTATTGCTTTTCAATGTATTGATTTTCTAGATGGAAAAAAAAGCATATTATGCCCATTGATTCCCCCCCTATATATAGTATGTATTAACTGAATACTGTACTGATATTCTCTTGTCTTCTTAAAGCCAACAAGTCCAAACCGAGGTTGGTTTGTTCCACCGTTTGGAGGAAACCCCTGGTGGGTATACCTTGCAGCTGCTATCCCTGCCTTGTTGGTCACCATTCTGATTTTCATGGACCAGCAGATTACAGCTGTGATTGTAAACAGGAAAGAACATAAACTCAAGGTTAGTGTTCATGAAATTGGTTGGGTTTGTATTCTGCTTTGCTTTCAGAAGCTTAAAATACTGATTAAAAAAACCACAGTGGGAATGAAGGATAGTATGAAACACAATGTATATGAACTTTTTATGCAAACCAGTAGAAAATAAATATTAACTAAGAAAAAACAATGTGATTTTATTGAGAAGTGTACCATATCTAATACATGTTATGTTTTGTCAGAGCCATGACTTCAAAATACTACTCTGGGCAGACTTCTATAAAGCTAAAAAAATAATGTCAAATCCTATTTTCTCAGTTACTGGAGAGATACAGATTTTGCCAATAAACCACTGTCTCTGCATCTAAATTTTAATGTGATTACTGTCATTAATGAAGATAGTGACAAATATTTAATTAATATTTTAAGGACTTAAGGAATCTGGTAAATTGACTTATATTAATTTTTAAAGATTATTCAAATAATTAATGGTAAAAATTGTTGATAAGTGTTTAAATATTTTTCCTTCACATATTTGCCTCACTGCATTATTGGTCACAATCTATGAAGGAAATAAATGTTTTTTTTTAAATGTTAGGTATTTTAAAATTAGTTATTAATTTTCATAATGACTCTAAAGTAATAGTAGTCATATATATGTATATTCCAAGAAAACTTCCTTACCTTAAGTAATCTTTCTCTGACTCTAGTGATTTTTGCTCATAGTAGCCTTCGAAAATTTCATTTGGGGATTCAAAAATTAATAAAATGAATAATGAGTGCTATGAAGTCCATGCAGAGAGTTAATGTGCTTAGTTACTAACCAAAAAAGGTAGTAGTTTGACTCCACATAGTGGTGCCTGAGAAGAATGGGTTGGTGATCCACTCCTGAAAAAGTCATCTGTTTAAAAACCAGACGGAGCACAGTTCTCCCCTGACACATATGAAGTTGCCATGAGTCGGCCAGCTTGAGGCAACTCGTTAATAAAATCTGTCACTTAGTGAATAAGCCAAACCAATTCTAGGCCCTTTTAATTATGCATTAACTCTTTCACTCATAACTGTCATAAAAGGGAAGTTTGAAAGTATATTAGAATCTTGTAATAACATTTAGCATGTCAGAATTAGCGGATAGAGAAATCCAGGACATCGAAGGAGTTTTATGACTATTGGAATCACTGAGCAAAGGAGTAAGAAAGAAAGAAGACTCTTATCAACTTCAAGAAAGACTTGAAGAAAAGCTAATCATAGTGAGAAAGGGGTACATACCATAATAAGCAGGAACAAAGGTTGAGAAAATGAAGAGCTTTAGACAAAAGAGAAAATCCAATGTTGTAAAGGAGAGAAGTTGAGAGTGATGGATTGATCCAAAGTATGTCCCTGCTTACTGAAATATATTGGAATTCCAATTCATAGAAACTTGAAATTTCATGTATTATTAGTCCATGTTAAAAAAGTATTCATTATAAATCAGTGTTGAAATAAGTAGACGTAATAGGGTGGAGAGGAAATTTATGGAACTGTGAGATAATTATAAAGGAGGGAAGATCTCTGTCCTGGGGGTCAGCATGTAGTAGGGATTATGAAGATGGAATTATGGCAGACAACAAATAATTGGACTTCAATAAAAGACAGGTTTTGCATCATAAAAGAACAGTGCATACTCCACATGAACGTAGTGGGAAGTTAGAAAAAGAAGTAGACTCTCACTGAGAACATCTGCAGGGAATCACCAGCACCAAAGTAAAGCACTGGTTTTCAGTTATGATCAAAAAAAAGGTTGAGAATTCAGATAGAAGCCTATGCTGACAATTTCCTGCCCTCTTCCTTCTCCTTCATAAATAGATGCTTTGAGACGTCTGTCTTCACTCTAGGCTTGTTTTTTAACAAGGTAGCATTTGTTCCTTATTTTCAAATACAAACTTCAACACCATTTTCTGCTGATCAGGATTTTGTGCCTATATGCTATTTGTTAGGAAAATCATCTTGATCAAATTAGCAAGTCACTCTGAGCATATTTTTAGCAAGTGAGTTTCAAAAGTAGTTCCAAAATTATGAATTTAACAAAATATATAGAATATTTTCATACCTTAAAAATCCAGTACTTGGCTGTTATAGAGGAACAGCAATGAATGACATCTCTTCTTTATGCCATTGATTATTAATTTGTGTGTTTGTGTGTATTATGAAAAACATCATTTAAAATTTTATAATAAGTAAAATGTTAGGAATTGACATGCTATTCTGTAGAAACTGATAAATATATAGATAGAGATATGGGTATAGATATAATGTTGTTGAACAGTGAGTCTCACCACTGAGCCAATTGGCAGCATCATGATAGACAGTGACGAGACTGAGATTGTTGACAGCTTCAGCTTGCTTGGCTCCATAATCAACACTCTTGGTACCAGCAGCTTGGAAATTAAAAGATGAATTGCATTGGGAAAATAATACTGTCAGGGTTTTTTCCAGAGTCCTGAAGACCAGCAATGTCAGTCTAGAGAATAAGGTATTCCTGATCCAGGCCATTGTCCTCACAGTTTTGTTTTGGTTTTTTGGTGGTTTTTTTCCCCCAATTAATTGCCATGCATCAGATATCTAGACAAAGACTAAGGATGATAGAGGAAGACCTGATGCCTTTGAGTTGTGTAGAAGAGTATTGAATATACCATCAACTGCAATGAGGACAAATGGGTTTTTCCTGGAGAGAGTGAAACTAGGGTGCTCCCGGAAGGCAAGATTTTGTAGCTCTGTCTGATGGACTTTGGGCATGTTGTGAGTAGGGACTGGTCCTTGGAAAGGGACATCATGTTTGAGGGTGTGGAGGGACAACAAAGGAGAGTAAACCCTGGATGAGATGGATTGATTTGGTGACTGGGATAGTGGGGACAGGTGTGTCAGAGACAATGAAGTTGGCTCAAGATAGATCAGCGTTCAGAGCTGTTGTGCATAGGGTTGCTATGAGTCCCAAGTGACTCGACAGCACATAACAGCCTTCTTATTGTGTACTGTAGAGTTGGAACTGACTCAAAGCTGACCCTCCGGTGGATTTACAGAGGCTGTTAATCGCACAGGAGGAGATTGCCCAACCTTTGCTGCCAAGAAGCTGGTGACCTCAAACCACAAGCTTTTGGGATTGCTGTGCAGCTTCTTGCCACTAGGTCACCAGAGCTCCTATATATGTATCATATATACTGCACATATTTACTTAACCTTTTTTTAGTTAGGAAGATTACTGTAGAAGTTCTGGAGCTCTGGTGGATTAGCGGTTAGGAATTGTGCTCCCAGTGCAAAGCTGTGATTTAAATCCACCAGCTGCTCCCCAGGAGGAAGATGGGCAGTCTCTTCCTGTGTAGTTTACTGCCTCTGAAAACCCACTGGAAGGTTAGCTATAGGTTGGTTCCAGCTCAATTTAATGCAACAACTATAGATGTGAATATATTTTAATGACAAGAGATTAACAGATAGTAATAGTTTGGTTAATAATTTTAACTTTGTAAAACATATTACAAAATTACATATTAAAAATCAGGTGAAAATTTTATCTTTAAAAGAGTACATGAGAGGGAAATAAAAGTCATCATGTATCAGCATAGATATATGGCTGTAGGGTGACATTCTTTTCTTTGTTGTTATTGTTACTATGTGCTGTGAGTCACCTGCGACCAATAGCAAACCTGTGTACTGCAGGTCTAAATCCTGCCCTGTCCTGAGCCAGTCTCACTAATTCTGACACACCAACCACATTTCCCAGTTACTGTATCAATCCATCTCATCTGGGGTCTCTCTCTCTGTGCTGTCTTTCCACCCTTACAAACATGATGTCCTTCTCCAAGAACCAGTCTCTCCTGGACACATGCCCAAAGTATATGGGACGGAGCTTCAAAATTGTTTTCATACCATTGGTCTATTTGTTCCAGTTTTTCATTACTGAGAATTTTTGATCTGTTGTTCACATAAATTTTAACACCAATATAGAGAGTTGTGCCTGCATACATACACATAAAACTCCTGTGGGAATTTTACTTGCAACTGCACTGAACACTCACATCAATTAAGAGAATTGTTCACATTTTTTTCCTATAATGTGTCTAACACCTTATTTCAGACTTAAAATTGTTTGTGTTTAAACTTTTATATATGTTCTCTTAGATGTATTCTATATACATACATAAGTATGTGTAGGCACATACACACACACTGTCATTGTTGTTGTTAGATGCCATCAAGTCACTAAACAATTGTAAGAACATCAGTTCTGAACCCTGTACTATCCTTTGTCATATTCATCATCTCTGACACACTGGAGCCCATGGCTGCTGTCACCATGTCAGCCCGTCTTGTTGAGGGTCTCCGTTTCCTTTGCTGACCCACTGCATTTCCTGGGATGATATCCCTTTACAGGGAATAGCCTCTCTTGGCCCACAGTGTGTGAGATTAAGCTTCACTATCCTTGCCTCCAAAGTATTACTTGCTTCCAGTTAGGATGGATCTGACATCAGCAATTATATCCCTGGTGGCCTGGCTTTTTGAAAATCCAACTTGATCTTCTGGCAGTTCTCTATCAATGTACTGTCACAGCCAGTATGACTTTAACTTTCTTCTTTACCATTGGCTCTTGTTCATATGGCACTTCTCGAAATGCATATGTCTGTATATTAGTATTTCAAATGGTGGTTTTGTTTTCTATTTCATTGTCTTACTGGCATGACAGAAACTAAGTTGATTATTGTGTTTTGGGTTTTGGATCTTTTTTCTGGAATATTCTTACTAAAATTCTAGTTGATTCTAGTAGTTTTCCTTGGATTTTATTTAGTGTTTTCAATAAATAAATTTATAGGGATCGTTTTACTTAAGTCCTTTCAATATTTATGTCTTATTTTTCCTTTTGTGTCAACTAGAAATTCCAATACAATTTTGAATAGAAATGGTGACATTTTGTGTTTTTTTAACCATTTGAAATAAAATTCAAAAGGATCTTGCATGCAGAATTTTTTAGGAATTAAATTGAGATTAAATTTA